GGGGGGGGGGGAAGACATAATGCAAGTTGACGCGCTGCCGTTCACCCACCGCGCCAAAGCTCGCCGCCATCCTCTTCGATCAGCGCTTTAATGAATGAATTGCTTCCGTGTCCATCCATCCATTCAACAGGCATGTCATTGCGTCTCGTCGGTTCATCGGTCTGTCTGTCTGTCTGTGTAGCTCATGCAGTGTCTGTTTATGCCGCCACGACGTCGACAGTCTTGAAGTCTGTCTGGCCGGCTGTCTGCAGGAGGCCGACGCGCCCGCCCGCCGACGGAGGCACCAACCACTCACACACCACACCTGATCGAACCAATTAACCATACATGCATACATCCTGCAGTGAGTGGCTGGGGAGTGGAGTGCATGTGTGTGGCTCTCACTCACCGTCGTCGATTGATGCCGACACGATGCCCTGGCCGTTGTCGCTCATCGCCACTCGGTGCCATCGGAAGGGCTTCAGCATCGACTGGCCGGCCAATGCCGATGCGCCCTCGAGACGCTCGCCAATCACTTCAACACTGCACACACACACACATAGCGGACCAGACAAACAGACATGAATTCAACATGTATGTATGTATGTATGTGTGTGTCTCGTCTGCTATGTGTCTCGCCGTCCAGTCACACACACACCTGCCCCCGTCGGTCCGTGTGAGTGTGGGCGGCCCTTGCGCGCTGAAGGTGAGGGCGTAGAAGCGAGAGCGCCCCTCCCCGCTGAAGAAGAAACCTGCCTGTGCCTCGGGCCGCTTCAGCCGCATAGTGCCGGCCAGCGACATGGGTGAGTTGGGGCGCTGGGCGGCTTGCTTGATCAGCATCTGTGTGTGTGGCTGGTTAGCCGTCAGGTGGCCGTCATTGGCGTCTCTCCTCCAGCCGCGTCGAGGCACTCGGAGGAAGCGGAAGATGCCGGCGCCGCCCAACTCGCGGAACGACAGATGCTGATGCTGAGTCGACGACTCTCCAGCTGATATCAGAGAGACAGACAGACAGGCAGGCACACATGAGGTGTACAATTTTGAATGTGTCTTGCCTTCAACGGTTTGGGTGAGCCGACCTACCTGGTTTGGGTGCCTTGTCGTGTTGGTGTGTCTCTCTCTCTGTCTGGCCTGCCGCGCTGCCCATCGAGCCAAAAGCGCCAGAGGGGGCGAGGTGCTGGTCGCACAGACAGCCGGCCGTGAATGACGTGAAGTGGGTCTTGTCGAACGCCGCGACCCCCACACCGCCCCCAGTGGGCGGAGACGACAGCTGAGCCGCCAACACCTGCACGCAGTGGTCCACACAAGGCGGCCAGGCATGGCATACTCACACGTGGTGCGTGTGTCGTCGTGTGCTGTCGAGATGTGAGATGTGTGTGTGTGTGTAGTACCAACCAGTTTGCCATTGATGAATGTGCGCATGTTGGTCTTGCCGAAGTCGACAGCCAGTTTGATGGAGCGGCCCGGCCGCACATCGACTGCCTTGGACGCGAGAAGCGCCGGCCTGCCCTTGGCCACCGACCGCAGCTCGACGGACGGGGACGCGCCGGAAGGCGGCAGGTGCACCAACGCAGACAGGTAGTTCATGTCGTCCCTATCATTGCAACCATCACAGACACACACAGAGAGGGAGAGAGCCATGTGCATCGACAAACATGGATAGGTGTGTGTGTGTACTTGTATTTGAAGACTATTCCAGCGCTGCCCGCGTCGCTTGCGATGGCCACGTCGGCCACCACATAGCCGACGGGATAGGAGCGGCCTTGCAGGAGGGCCGCCGAGGCGACCGGCGACTCGCGCGACGTCTTGGCGGCGGACTGCAGGAGGGCACGCAGCGAGTTGACCGAACCAAAGTGCCTGCACACATGACACACACACGAGTGTTGCATCTGTGTGTGTGTGTATGTGTGGGTGGGTGGGTGGGTGGGTGGGTGTGGGTGTGACCATTTGGACGGGCCGCCGAGTGAGTCTGCCGCATCGACGATCATCCAGTTGGCGTGCACGTCGCTCGCACCGCTGTCGAAGCGCTCCATGTAGAGGGGCTCGTGCATCGTCAGCTCGTCCCCATCAGCTTGTGCGGCCGCCCGCCGCTCCTCTGCTCGTCTGATGTCCATTTCCCTCTGCTTGAGTGTCTGCGAGAGCGACGCCTTGGCCGCCTTCAGCTGAGCCGACAGCTGGCCGTACTGTGACTGGAGTTGCTGCTGCCGAGCCATCAATGCGTGAGCCGCACTCTCTAACGACGCGGCGGCGCTCTCACCCGGCTGTATGAGGGCATGGAAGCCTGTCAGTCAGGACACACACACACAAGACAAGAGAGAGGTCACGTCAGGCCAAGTCACGGCACAGACATGTGTGGAGTGAGTGAGTGTCTCACTGACTTTGAATGGCCTCTTTGGCTTGGGCGGTCTGCGTGGACTGCTGGAACCGACTCGACGACGGCCGTGTGTGCACCGGGGCTGCCGCATCGGTGGCCGGCGGTAAACTGTGTGCCGACGGCGTCTTGTCGACAGTGGTTGGCGTGTGTGCCGTGAGGGGCGTGACGACGGGGGCTGACCGCTGCGGCTGCTGCTGGTTGATGGTGGTGGTGGTGGTGGTGTAGTATGGGACCTTCAGTGGGGGTGTGTTGGCCGTGAAGGGTTGCGCAACCTGTGCGAGCAGTGGGTAGGCCAAGGGCATCGAGTAGGGCATGACGGGCGGCGCATAGTAATAGCCCATCAAAGGCGACTGTGGCTGCTGCTGCTGCTGTGGGGGTGTGGATGTGTCGTCGCCGCCTCGCAACACCTGCACAATTAAACAAAGACACACGGAAAATACACAAAGAATACACACACGCGTGTCATCTCATCTGATGTGTAAGTACTTACTTGTTCGATCTGTCTGGGGTTGGTGGCTTGGACGAGAGGCACTTGCGTGGCGGCCGGCGGCACGATCTCGATGAACGACGTGCCACCCGCGATGGTGCTGCTTGGGCCTGGCACGAACCCCCCCCGGCCGTCCACGTGAGCCAGCAGCGTGTCGGTCGCGTAGAGACACCGTACACCCTCGGGCATCTCGAGGAAGTACAGCGGTGCATGTTGCTGGCTGCCGGGCATCCCACCGAGCGACGGTGTGGTGGCGTCGATCATGTTGCGGGCGGCTGAGTGGGCAACATGGGCGGGGAGCGAGGCGAGGGCGAGGGACTTGTGCACCGCCACGTTGCCACCCATGTCCGAGATCACTCCCGCGTGGATGGCGGCGAGACAGACACTGCTGGGGGCCGAATACTCGAAGAGACCGAACACCCGGGCAGTGGCTGATGCCGCCTGGCAGTGCTTGGGACACGAGACGATCGTCGTGGGCAGCACGGGGGACAGCTTCTCGAACGTATCTATAGATTATGTCAGTCAGTCAGACACACAACACACACACGACAGACAGACATGGGCTGGACAGCCATGTCTCTCTCTCTCTGCATGTGTGTGTGTGTGTGTGTGTGCGTGTGTGATTGTGTGCCTGTGCAGGAGAGCGATGCCGATGGGAGCTGCATGGTGGGTGTCTTGGTCTGGTGGCGCGTCAGCAGCTGCACGCTCCCCTTGGCTGTGTCGCACACCTGCCGAGACCACCCCGTCGGCAGAGGAACTTGGGAGGTGTTGGGGGCCGCCATCACAAGGGCCACGTCGCTGAGGAAGGCGCCCGCGTCAGTCAATCGCTTCACAGCCAGCGAGAAGGGCACGCCGGCGACGCTCTCCTTTGTGTAGCCTGCGGGCAGTGGTTGGCCGTCGCCGCACACGAGCATGGCGTCCGTCACGTGCTGCGGCGAGGGGTCCTTCTTGTACAGCGCCACAGGCGAGTCGGGCGAGTCGGCCGTCGAAAGGCGGCCCCGCCAGCCACTCAGACCGCCGCCGGCCGAGGCCGACAACACATCTATCCGACACACAGAGAGCGACGGAGGGGGAGGGAGGGAGAGGGGGAGGCATCACATCCATGTAATGTTTGCATCCGTCAGTCCGTCCGTTCATCAAGTCATGTGTGTGTGTGTGTGTGTTGTGTTGACCTCTCATGAGCTGGATGGTGAGGTCGGATATTCTGGCAGGGGCGCCCTCCTGCGGCTCCTTGCGTGTGAGGTGGCCGCAGCCCCTGCTCGCCGCAGCCGGCTTGCTCGTCACCACGAAACCAGACACCTGCACACAGACAGACAGACAGACAGAGGGATGGCGGGAGGGCGTGGGAGTGGGTTTCCGTCGTCTGTTTGGCTGTTTGTCTGCATAATTACTTCAGGGAATGCCGGCCTGGTCTGTGTGGGGTCGATGTGCACTGTCGCGACGCCGCCCCGCTCACCCAACACACCGGACTGCACACACCCACACACACGCACACAGAGGTCCAGTCCACAGGTGTGGTGTGTCTCTCTCTGTGTGTGATGGCATGGCCGAGCTCAGCTCACATGTATGGCGGCGAGACATACGGACGACTGCATCGAGTAGCAGTCGCTGCCGCCATACACATTGACAGCCGCACCGGCACACCCAGACGGACACACCACCGACAACTCAGTCGCCTTGTCATGAGCACCGCTCGCAGAAGCCAGCTCATCGAACGTCCTGCAGACAGACATGACATGGACCGGATCAAATCGACACACAGCCCAGAGAGGCATGAAGCTTGGAATATTCGGACGGTCGGGGGTGTGGTGTGCGTTGCGTACTTACGTGGTGCAGGTGGTTGTGAGGGTGTGTGGCGGTGTGTGTGGCGGGCAGAACTCGTCGATGACATCCGGGAAGAGGTTCTCTGTGGGGATCTCCGCCTCTGGCGTGTTCACACCCGACCAGTACACCTGAATGATGATCACACACACACATCTGTCTCTCTGTCACAATTTGTGTCTGTCTGTGTCCATCCCCCCCTCCCTCCCTCCCTCCGTCCCTCTAAGCTTGCTTACGGTGAATGTTGGCAGTGCGTCGGTGGGGCTGGTCATCTGTGCTGTGATCTGATGCTTATCGTGCTGGTGGAGCGTCACGGGCGAGGCCGTGGCCGAGGTCACACTCGTCTTGAGCACCTCCCGCCCGTCGACAGAGAGCCGCAGCGTGCCGCCCCTCACGCCCTTTGCCACAAGGGACCATGATCCATCGCGCGGCGCGCTGATGAAGCCGCTCAGACGGACGCACAGCGGGCCACTCAGCGCACGACCCGCCACCGTGTCTGCAGTGAGTGCACTCACCGACACACACACATACACAGCTGATTGGACTGGACAGACACATGTGTGTGTTGTGTGTG